GAGTTGATGAGGAATAGGAATATCGGATTTGTTGGAGATTCTTTGAATGAGAATTTTTTGGTTTCTTTCTTGTGTATTCTTAGAGTTGCTGATGGCAGTGCTAAGAAGTGGAAAAGGAAAAGAGCTTGGAGAGGTGCTTATTTCCCCAAGTTCAATGTCACTGTTGCTTATCACCGGGCTGTTTTGCTTTCCAAATATGAGTAAGGCTTCTTAAATGCCTGTTTCTGTTTACTTTGTCATTTGTTTTTACTGCTTGGTTGATAATGCAATGTGGGTGTTATTGATTTGAACTAAATGTAGCGCTTGAATTTAGGAGCAGTTTAGCTAAAGGAATATACTTGTAGCCATATATATCTTCTAGATAGAGTGGAACAGGGTCTGGAGTTTTAGGCCGATGCAGGGGAAGAATGGATTCACGTCTATTAAAGAACTAAACTTTGCATGCTATAAAACTAGTGAGATTGATATATCTTCTAGATAGAGTGGAACAGGGTGTGGAGTTTTAGGCCGATGCAGGGGAAGAATGGATTCACGTCAATTAAAGAACTAAACTTTGCATGCTATAAAACTAGTGAGACTGATTCGCATAATGCTGATTATCGAGACCAGGCTTAATGAAAGGTGCTTCATATTTTCTTATCCAAATGGTATTTTGATATGCAACAGTGACCTAATTTGGATTCCGGGAAAACATATTTTAGCTTCACAGGTTTCATACAGATTTTGATCAAGTACCCTAATTACTGGTTGTTATTGACGAAATTGTTTGGTGTCTCAAACTGTTGCTCAAAGCTGCGCTACCCTATGATTGCAATATCCATGTTTGCTTTTGAGAGTTGCTAAAGTGTCTATGGGATACATTTCATCACTAAAGAATTGGATACTTGGGATTTTCAAAGTATATTTAAATCACTCAGTTAGAATAGTTCAACGAGAATGAAACTTATGCTGGAAACCATTGGTGCAACCTACATCAGTTTATTTTATGTCCCTTTTTGCAGTGGATTTTCCATTGATTTAACTTGGGATTGAATTGGGCATGACAGTTTGGTTTGTTCATACTATGTTTGTATGAACTCATACTGCATGTTTGTGAGGATATTAACAGCCTTGCAAGTGAACAGCGATTTTTTTTCTTATTTAGTTGTGTGCACTCTCTGCTTTGGTCTCTGTTTTGTTGACAGTCATATGAGTCATGTCTGCTATACCTTAATCTTTAAATGGTTCCTTAACTTATCATTTTTGGAAATTTTGAAAATGACAACCTCACTTGTTCGTAACTTGATCAAATAAAGGTGGCAGCCAAAACAGCCTACTATGAATGATGGACGGAAGGGAATATATCGTGTAGATGTTGATATACCCGCAGAAGATTGGGCCACCATCACCGACTACTATGATGTTCTCCTCTTTAATACTGGTCATTGGTAATTTCCTTTTCTTCTCTGAAATTTAGGAAAACATTGGAAATGAATTGATGTTTTCATCCTGTAATGCTTTGACAGTGCATATGCATGATTTGGATTTAAAAGAAGCTTGGTTAATTGACTGAAAAAGGCATTTTGGTTTTTCCAAAACCTAATATTTTGGGGGTTCACAGAATTTTTTTTTGCTTTCGAGGTCTTAATTTTGCTGCGCCTGGCACAGATATGTTTTCTCCTTTTCCTGTTGCAAGTAAAACAAAAGCATGCAAAGGTTATTCTGGCAGCTTGTTTACTCTCAACCTTCTTCCCTTGCATTAATTTTGATGCTTTCATTTGTTAGCTAGTACTATATTTATTGTGGTATCTTTAACATATGGTCTGGTCTTACTAGGTGGGGTTATGACAAATTCCCAAAAGAGACGCCTCTTGTTTTCTATCGTGCTGGGCAACCAATACTTCCTCCCCTTGGATTATTTGAAGGACTTAAAGTTGTTCTTGAGAATATGGTCTCGTACATTGAAAGAGAAGTTCCTCGCAAGACGCTCAAGTTTTGGCGGTTGCAATCGCCACGCCATTTTTATGGTGGCGAGTGGAATCAAAATGGCAGTTGCCTGTTTAATGAGCCCCTAAAGGAACATGAGGTAATACATTGATGACAGCTATTTACTCTTTACATTTAATTCCTATGTCATTTTGATGATAATTAATTTTTTGCTGTGGCCCCTATCCAAAGGAAGCTCAGAGTCTTTCATCAAATTTGTTTGAATGTACTGAAATGCTATGACAATTGTTCAAATTTTGAACTAGATATTCTGAGATGAAAAGTTTCTCCTTTGACACCTTCACCTTCTGACATGTTTCCATGTATATATATGTGTGTGTGTGTGTGTATAATTTTTTTTGTTTCCTCTTTCTTTATTTCCTTGCTCAAGAGATTTTGATACCGATACATGCACAGCTGGACTTGTGGTTTGACCCCAGCAACAATGGAGTGAATAAAGAGGCAAGAAAGATAAATCACGTGATTGAAGAGATGCTGCAAGGTACAGATATCCGATTGCTGGATCTTACTCATTTGAGTGAGTTTAGGGCAGATGCCCACCCAGCGATTTGGTTAGGAAAGAAGGATGCTGTGGCAATATGGGGTCAGGACTGCATGCATTGGTGCCTACCTGGTGTCCCGGACACATGGGTTGATATCTTCTCAGGGCTGATTCACAATAGCTTGTAGATGGGGTGGTGAACCGTGAGGAGGATATTGTAAAATCTCAGATTTCCTTTTGCAAATATTTATATGACACACTTAAGCTGAGTGGCTGCTGCAATTTCATGGGGACCAGCTTGTTAGAATCTGTTTATCGGCATACCAGGCTAAAGACTAAAGACGAGTCTTCATGGAGATATATGCTGATGGACAAAGGTTGCTGCTCTATTCTTTCTCAGAATTTTTGAACGGAAATGAATTGATTCACGTTGTAAAAGAGAAGGAGAAAGATGAAGGAAGAAGAGAGAAATCATAGGAAATTCTTTTTGCAGGTGGGGAAGGTGGTTCTGAGGCTTACTGAATATTGCATCATGCTCCCACTAGATCTAACTGGTTTTTAATTTAGAAAGTCATCTTTATGCCATTATTCATTTCTTTTCTTATTTATCCAATTCATTTTATTCCCTTATCATGTTTTTTTTCTTTTCAACGCATACAATATGACCTTAGCATAGTCACAAATTCTGTTCTGGCAACCTCACTGCTTTGAGCTCCCAGGTTCCTGTTTCTTCAAGTTTAAGTGTGTGGTTCATGATGAAATGTGGCATCGTTGATTTCTTTCTCCAAAGAGTTTTTCCTTGTTCTGACCATCTAATGCCTTGTTCCGTTATATTGATTTCTAGCTTGCTGTTCGCCAAGCACAGCAATTGCTAATCGTCTATTCCAATTCTAAACTAGCTCACGTGACCTATCGGTTTAAACCCTTTGTTTTTTTCCTGGCAATGTAGCTTGGTATATACAATGGAATTGTTGGATGAGTAGTGTTGCCTCCATTCCTAAATTTTCAAGTCTTTCTGGGATTCGAAAATAAAACCTTCAAGACCCAATTTAAACATTTGTTAAACGTGTATCCATTGTAGCTGGAAGGGTATTCCATTTGCATCATCCATGATTTATCTTTATAAATCAGACGATTTCTTATGGTGTTAAAGTCAAAACTTCAATAGAACTTGTGCAAACCAAATTCCAGACGCTGCACTGGCTCTACTTGCACGTGACAAGCAACTGTTATCGTGGTAGTCATGCCCTATGATGAAATATTATTAGCTTGTACTCATTCCTCTCACACAAAAATCGCATCTTACAAAGATTTTGTGATAAGGAGTTGTACGACGCTGAATGATAAGGGTTTTTTTGGTTCCCGCGAGTTGTGATAAGCAAATGAAGAATTTCCGAAACCCTTTTCTTCGATTTTAATTTGTTTTTAGAAATTAAATCAAATACTCGAGTTCGAATCTGACTGAATGCAGCAGTATGGCTGGGACTGTAACTAGCAACAGCGGGAAGAAGCTAATTCATAGCGATGTCTGCTCAGACACTACATGGCAATGGTGTCTTGTTGGCACGAGAAATTTAGACAAAGCTATTGCTGCAATGGTGTCTTGTTGCACGAGAAATTTAGACAAAGCTATTGCTGCGTTGAAGGACCGATTTAATTTTGAGGTTTAGTTTTGCTTCGGTTGATTAGAGTTCCATTCTCAGACCTCAGCTCAGATTTACTTCGGTCGGCTGATCAAATGGCTTCCATTTTTCCGAAGAAGGTTTGGACCTGCTAGGGCACTACAATCAAGCGTTTGGACCTCAAGCTGATAGAGCTGTAGAGAAGTTCAGAAAGGTTTTCTTTTTTCTTTTTTCATCTTTTTTGTAGAAGTTCACCACAGGTTTTCAAGGATTTTTTCTTGGAAAATAATACTTCTGGACTCATGCAAGCTATCATTTACTGATGAATGCGAGTATAGAACCAATTAACCTGTGCATTATTTGATTGCGAACCCTCTCCCTAGATTTGTATATCATGCTGGACAGCAGAATCTTGATAAGCAACATAATCTTGTCGAGGAGCTGTTCCTTGGGAGTTTTACCCCGGCTAAACGATAGGTGAGTGCTTCATCTTGATCAAACGGTTGTATTCATCTCAATCATGAAATTTATTGTATTTTCTTATGCATCTGTTAACGGTCTTCAAACTCTGTGTTCCTTGACTGATTTCTTATTAATTTTCCTGTCTCAATCTCTATTTCTTAGATAGATATTCTCCTGTTTTCGTCTCCACCAATCAAATTAACACGATGTTTTTTTGTTTCTTGCATGTTCCTGCCTTCTTGTACTCCGAACCAAACGTTACCTATCTGTTTTTTCCTAACACCCTTTTCCAACCTCCTTAAGTCTACTCTTGTCCCTCTCTATCACAACCCACCACAGAACCAAATTTAACCACTGGACCAACGTGGGTCAAAGCTAATTTGGATAGCATTCCATTTCTGTCATCCATGAATCAGATGGCGCCGTATGATGTTGCTGTCAAAACCCACCACAGATGGCGCCGTATGATGTTGCTGTCAAAACTTCAATAAAAGCTATATCCGAACCAAATTCCAAACACTGCACGACGCAGGGATTCCTCTGTTTCTAACAAAATCTTCCTTAACCACCAAACCCTAAAAACCTCAATTTCTGCAAAATCCCAACCGACCTGGTGATTCAAAACCTCAAAAATGGCCCTAAAAACGAATCTATTTTTTCCAAACACAATTCTTCAACGTCCGAAATCCTACTGTTGTCCCTCCCCCACTACAACCCATTTCAGAACCCGAATCCTATGCACCCACAAAAAAATCAGAAGTGATGCTGATCTTGCATCAGACCTGGCATCAGAAGTAGCAAAAATAAACATCCATTTGGTGCAACGAGAAGAGGCCATGAAGAAAAGCAGAGAACTACTTTTCGCTGAGCTTTGCAAGTACTTGGCTTTGGATAAAGAGGAAGCGAAGAGGAAATGGAGTAAAATGGATCAAGAGGAGAAAAGGGTTTTGATTAAAGGGTTTGTTGATGAATGGGGTGTCAGTTTTCACCCTTTATCTGCTAGGTCTGTCAAGGAAATGATTGAAGAGTACTTACATGAAAGGAAGCCACCTTCACATTCTTCTGGTTCCATGCTGTTTCCAGGTTTGAAGAGGATAATGGGGTTTTCTCAATAAGTTCAAACGTGTAAGATATGTCATGTAGGGATAGAAACTTAATCGGAATGGCTGGTTTGTTGTTTGTTGTTAAGTGGTGGATATTGCTGACAATCGGATTTGGCTTCTTTTTTACTAGTAAAGTTTGATAAATTCACAGGAAAAGATGATTGATCAGTGAATGCTTTTATTAATGTGTATGATAATTTGTTTCCCCTGGAAGTTGCTCCCATGTTCTTTTTATTAATCAGTGATTGCTTTTATTAATGTGTATAATAATTTATTTCCCCTGAAAGTTGCTCCGAATCAGTGATTGCTTTTATTAATGTGTATGATAATTTATTTCCCCTGAAAGTTGCTCCGATGTTCTTTTTATTAATCATTGGTGGAAAAATCATGGTAGACACCAATTGCCAGCGTTATTAGAATGGAAATGATGTCTTAAACATCTGTTGTGCAAATTCATCTGAATTCCTTTCTGATTTCTGACCATAGAGCTTCACAGCCCCTCTGAATCCGGTAAAGCCTCTCCCCTCTCACATATAACGAGCAGTGATACCTGAATCTTAACACACTAACCTGAAGATTACTGCACTCGCGTTCTGCTGACATGAATTCCATATTCCAATCTATTTTCTGCAACTCTAATAATAACACAAAGATTTTGGAAGAAGTGAATAACTAATCAGATCCAGGTGTTGTGGTTATTGTCGGCATACATAGAATTCTCCATAATCTTTTTGATTTCTACTTGTACAGAACTACTGAACAAAGTTATACAGCAATGAAAAGTTATCCTCAATCACGGAATATGATCACTGGACACCAATATCACCTGAATGCCGAGGCCTGATGTCAGTATCATGATAAAAGTGAAACGATGGTAATCACCTTGTTTTTATGTATTTACATCCGTATACCTGGGATTTCAGCAACTGAAAAGTCTGAAAATCAAAACATAAATTTGAAAAGAATTTTACATACAGTAACCCGCAAGCAAAAACACGTTCTCACCAACCCACACAAATTCTGCAGTCTATTCCTACAGAGGAGTGAAAATTTCTTCAGATATATAGCTGCCTGCACACCACAGCTGAGGCCTCAGTTGGACAGTAAGGACACTTGAATGACCGGGAGCTGCCTTTTGATAGCTTCATGATCGACTGCTTGCAGAGAACATGGAAGCATGGCAGCAGCATCGGTGGATTCTCCTCACTGCCTTGATCCCGACTTACAGGACAGACAAAAATAGAATGGAACTGAAATTCCTTTCCCAGCTCTACTGGCACTGGCAACTGTTTCAAAGCCTGCCACTCTTGCTTCTTTGCAGCCATTACATTCACCAGCTTCAAGAGGGTTGGCAGCCCTTCAATCCCAGCTGCTATTGCCACACTCAATGGACTCTGGAGGGACTGACCAATGAAGCTGCAGAAATCCCTGTTCAACTCCTCAGTCAACTTCTCCCAACAGATTGGAGCAAACAGTTCAGAGTGAGGACATTTTTCAAGTCTGCCTATCCACATAATGCAAACTGTTAGCTTCTGAAACTCTTTCATGTGACTAGAAGCAAAAGAAGCAAGGTGAGTTTTGGCATAGTTGAGGGCATCAGCACGGCTTCCTCTCTTCAGAATCTCCACAAACTGCTGCTGGTGAAGTTTCAGCTCAAGGTTTGAACCATTCTGCATTAGTTTTTCACGGTTGGTAGAGGCCCACTTCAGAGCTGGCTCAATATTTTTAATCCTCATTGCCTCGAGTATTTGATGAAGTTCCAACAGATGAGATCTTAGAGCAGTTGCTTCTGGTTCTCCAGCTTCATTTATTAGGCAATCTCCAAGATCAAACAAGCCTTGACGATAAAAATGACTTGCTATTATCTGATTAACGATATGAAAGTCAAAGTCAACATTTCTGTATGACATGGATATGTCAGGAAATGATTTTTCAAGGAGCTTAGGCAACTTGCTAAGATTTAAATTCAATTCCTTCTGTGACCCTTCTAATTGCTTGAGCGGAGCAATTGCGATAAGCTTGTGCTTTAGTTCTGTGAGAATTGATTTCTGATCAGGGGGAAACATAGGATCTTCATCTGACTGGATTTTTACCAATGCCTGCTCAATTTCATGGCTCACTTGATTGATTACTTCATGAGATTTAGAAAATGACAATTTTTGCTTCTTGGCAACATGATCAAATGCATCTTTGGCAGTACTTAGTTCCATTCCTGTAGAAAAAGGAAACACAATAACATTACTCATCCCAAATACAACAATTAATGAGTACTGATTTTACTTAAAATAGTGGAATAACATAAAAATATCACACTTCCTAAACAATAACAGATACCCCATCATAGCTATTGCCAATAAATTGCTGAGCACCTCATAGATAAGAACAGGCAGAACAGCAAACTTTAAACAGCAGTGAGGTACAAGAGAATGGATATTTAACAGAGAGAGAAAACACTGTCATTCATCTTTTCTGTCAATCAATCAAAACAATGGCTGCACTAGTCATTCACCACAATCATTTTTCCAGCTTTTAGTTTAAATACAGGACACATATACTTCTCCAAGAAACCATGAAGACGAAAAAAAGAAAAGGATAAGGGATACAAATTAAATACAGGAAACATATCCTTCTCTAAGAAACCAAGAAGAAGAAAAAAGGAAATGGATAAGGGATACAAAAAATAGACAACAATTAGATCGTCCAAGCTAAAAACTAATTAGGATACATACCAAGCCTTTAAATATTGTTAGGACACAAATCATAGACAGCATTACAAGATCATCCAAGAGGATAAAACTTGCATGATGACAATAAATATAAATACAGAACAGAAAATACACTAACGAGTAACAGAAGTCATCAATTCTGGATGGAGGCATTGTTTGGGAAACATGGTTGATATAACAATGTAGGACTCTCTTCCTGTTTCTTTTCACTTTTTTCTCCTTCTAAACTCACATGATACCAACAAATACAGAACAGAAGATACACTGACAAGCAACAAAAAATTGTCAATTCTGGGAGGAGGTAATTTTTGGAAACTTGGCTGAAATAACACCTTCGGACCTTCTCTTCTTGTTTCTGTTCATTTGTTTATGCTTGATTTCTTTAACGGTCAAATGTATATCAATGGATTGACTGGTGTAAGTTCAATTTAATAAGTGGCACACCAGAACAAGAAGAGGGAGTTGTTTGAAGTGGACCAGGCAGAGGGGTGTTATAGTCGAGCGATAGCTCAAAAGGACTATCAAACGAAACAATCATCCACCTATTTTAAAGCTACCAAAGTTCAAATCAACTGGCATGTAGAAAATGCATAACAACTACATCAACAATTAACAACGAGAAGTTTAAGATACAATAAGCAACTTCAACTTCAATACACCGTGATCATTTAATCATCAATTACAGTGATCAGTGGTAGCAAAATCATGCGAACAATCAAAGGACTCCCTCCACTCCCAGAAACCAGAAAACCAATAAAACAAGGAGAAATACAGTCCTCGAAAAACCAGGAACTTACCCTCTGCAATCAAAATAAACACTCAGTCATTACACACTGAGCACAATCACAGCAAAACCAAAACCTCAAGCAAGGTTTAACCAAAAACGACAGCACATGCGCGTACAGATTAATACAAAAAGCATAACCTAACATAATACACACTCAATTGAGTCTCTCCAGACACTTATTATTATCATTGAGGTTTTATTTGGAAATTAGAGAAATGAAAAAAGAAAAGGCAAACTGGTACCTATTGAAATAAGAGAAAAAGGAAGCGAATTTCAAGAAAGAAACTGTGACTAACTGCTATATGAAAGCGAATTCTGAGAAAGAAAATGTAACTAACCGCTATGTGAGTGAGTAAGATATTGGCAACAGATCACAGTTGCTTAAAATTAAATCTTGTAATTGCCCAAAATCATAATCAAATTTGTATTTCGATAAAGATTAAAGAGGTAAAGGGAATGGAAAATGGAGTTACCTCACCTGGAGAATGTTACCGGGGAAAGAGGACTGCGAGAGCGAGCGAGGGAGAGAGGGAATGAGAGAGCGTGGGAATCGAGAAGGAAATCTCGTAGTAGGACTCCGTTAGAGAGAGAAACACGTGTGAGTTTTATGTTTCTTTGGACGATATTACTCCTTATTTGTTTCTTATTTACCTTTTATACCCACCTGAAATTCAACTTTTCAATTAATATTTTGATTATTTTTTATTGGACATGATTATGTAGAGAAGCTGTGAACTAAAATCTTAATTAAAAAAGGGTAATAAATAAGTGTATTAATCCTCTATTTTTAAAAAAATTATTTAAAAAAATTATTTTTTTATTTTAATTTTTTTAAATTATTATTTTAAAATTTTAATATCAAAAATAAATTTTAAAAAATAAAAAAATATTTTAATATATTTCAAATTTTAAATTTTAAATAAAAAACAATAGTTACCATGGAAGTAAACAAGCTCAAATAGAATTTATAAAACAAGAGGGAAAGATTTCCTGTGAATCCTTCTTTAGCATCTCCTATGTAAAGAAAAATTAATGACCTAGTACCTTTTTTTAATGAAAATTTATAGTTTTAAATTTATTGATGAAAAGATATACGACCATCTTGTTAAGTGAGTTGAAGCTAGCCTGAATATGGTAAGCTATTCCTACATAATTGATAAATTTAAATTTAATAAGTTTTAAAAACTTTAAAAATTATTTTTTTTAGACTCAATAAATAAACAAATTCACCCTCTCTTAAACTTAGTGAATAGAAAGATCATTAACCTCTCTTACAAAAACTCAAGAGACATACTAGATTTTTCGTTTTTCGTGAGTTTTTTCAAGAGACAAATCCAACCTCCATTAAACTCCACTTAAAAAGAGACTTACATTCCTTGAATCTAGTATAGAAGAAGAACTTAATGTTTACAAGCTCAGTTATATTTGATATCATAAACCGTAAACTTCTTATATCTTTTAAATATTTTCTTTTAAATTTCTTCAAGGAAAGAAGCTAACCTCTCTTACAAAAACTCAAGAGACATACTAGACTTTCCGTGAGTTTTTTCAAGAGATAAATTCAACCTCCATTAAACTCCACTAAAAAAAGACTTACATTCCTTGAACCTAGTATAGAAGAAGAATTTAATATTTATAAGCTCAGCTATATTTGATATCATGAACCGTAAACTTCTTATATCTTTTAAATATATAA